CGCGTTGGCGTTTAGAACGATGTGTAGCGAGTGTCACGACGCGTTGGCGTTTAGAACGATGTGTAGCGAGTGCTCACGACGCGTTGGCTTTTAGAACGACGCGTAGCGCGTGTCACGATGCGTTGGCGTTTATAACGGCGCGTTAGCGTTTATAACGATCCGTTCCAACGCATCGTCTTCATGGTGTCTCTGCAGCCGTACAACCATCGCAGCCTGGCGGGGCAGCAGGGCCACGGCAAGCTGGTGCACCTGAAGCGATTCTACGTCGAGAGGCGGACGAAGAACGAGGTGATGATCGAGCGCATCTGTGAGTTCCTGGAGGCGGCTCCTCACCACTACAGTCCCTGCTCCTCCGTCCGCAAGAACATAGTGAGTACCACTGCTGTCGCTGTCACTGCTGCTGCTGCTGCTGTCAGTGCTGTTGTTGTTGCTGCTGGTGTTGCTGCTGCTGCTGCTGTTGTTGTTGCTGCTGTCACTGCTTCTGCTGCTGCTGGTGCTGCCGCTGCTGCTCTGCGCTGTCAGTGCTGTTTGTTGTTGCTGCTGGTGTTGCTGCTGCTGCTGCTGTTGTTGTTGGCTGCTGTCACTGCTTCTGCTGCTGCTGGTGCTGGTGCTTGCCGCTGCTGCTGATGTACAATGTCGCACATCCACTTTGCAGCCCTGTTTTACAGCCTTTTCGAAGGCAGACGGCTACCAAACCTAACACAATGTCGCAGTGTATGATAATGAGTGCAGCAGTTGTTCACCTCGGCAAAGAGCATGTTTTTTAACATGGACCATGAAAGTGTAAATAGCGCGTTATTATGATGTTTAAGAAGTATGTCTGCTCTTTTGAAGGCTGCTCTGCTGTGAAAAAGCGTTGCTGCTGACAGGAATTATAGACGTAGGAATGTGGAAATTCGATATACTAGAGTAGCTCATGGTGGTTTTGTATGCAATTTAATGTCCAGAACTAAACTCTTCATGAATCCACTAATTGAAGGTCCAGGAACAATATTTGGTTCGTAACACATTTCTCCACTGACGGCCGAAATAGCTTTTGGGCCACGCCCTTTTCGAGCGAAGTGCTACCATCCACCGTGGACTGTATCTCACAGAACCGTTGGACTAGGAGTTGCCGCACCACTCAAATGTGCGCAATGGCCACATTATGGGGGGTCAGTAATACATTTTCATATCAAAAGTCAATGGATTTCAGGCATGTTATGCACTACAATTATTCGTAATTGTTCTGTTCCTATTGTTCAATTACTTGATTCCTGAAGAGTCGCAGATAGAGACATGGTACAAGATTGCGCTGCCACAGCTTTGGCTTTGATCCTAAGCGCTGCGGCGGGGATGAGACGCGCAGTTCCGCGGGGATGAGCCTGTATCCTATCCTGAGAGATCTATACACACTCTATTCGCAAGGGATTGGCATCTTTTCGTTTCACCTGTGCAGAGGTGCATGCCTTTGTTCTTCGGGTTTGGCCGACAAACTATAGGCAGATGGGGTACGCTGTTCCTTGAAGATTGCCTGGACATACAAAGGATGTTCCCGGGTATCTACAGATGCTTTACAGATGGTGGATGGTGATGTACACACTCTCCGACAAGGCAGTGCAGTAGGATTTGACATGGCAGCTCAAGAAGTGTTACAATAAACCCGCTAAGGTTGCTGGAGGTATCATTGGATGACTAGAGCAGAAAGAAGGCAGTAGCATTATGGAATCTCCTAAAGCATGAAAAAGATCTTCATGTGGCACAGCTGCTGGAATGGTGTAACTTGGGAGACAAAGATGACAGTGAACTGAGCCTACACCATGAGTTCAATCCAAGTTCTACGAAGATTGGCCATGTTCGTGCGCGAATACGCTTCTGGATTACATAAAATTCCTCAACAAATCCGTTCGGCGCTGGAATCGGACTTCAGAACATCTGCTACTGGAGCTGACATACCGGCAGGCAGGTTGTTGACGGATTACTATCCCTGGAAATTGTTGAGAAGAGTTATCAAGAGTATATTGAGACTGATTTCAGGATAAGAGAGAAGCACCTACATGATAGCAATCCCTACCAACCGCAAGACTGTTTTTAGCTCATCTGACATAGTCAGATTGCAGCTTGTAGAATCGCTATCGTCGTGCGTCCGTCCGTGCGTCCGTTCCGTGCGTCCGTCCGTCCCGGGCGTCAACAGTTGGGCACAAATCTTAACGCTCGACGTACGGTCACGATATTCGGGACGTCGGGGGGATCGTCAAAACGAGTTGGGATGTCGAAGCTGGGGGTCAAGGTCAAAGGTGCAAGAGGTGTAAAAGAAGGGGGAACATTCACTCCTTAACTTAAGGTATAGGAGGAAATGCAGAATTGCGGGCACAAATCTAAACGGCTCGACTTAGGCTGTGTGGAATCGGCTGATAGAATCATGGTAGGAAAAGCCATCACTGTGCCGAAATGAGGTCACAGGTCAAAGGTCAGTGGGCACAGGGCAGATTTTAGACATTTTCTGAGGACATGGTCTGACGGAGCGATTGGAAAACTTTTTTGTTTCAGCGGTGACCTAGCATTTTTATGGCTTTATTGAAAGGACATGAAATGTCCCTTCTGCTGACATGCGAAGAGTAAGTGTCGGATAACCTTTTGACCCTCAAGAGGAGGGTTAAACATGGATTTGTTCACTGTCAACAAAGGACTGAACTGCTTTTGCTATTATTAGAGCCCATACTGTGTTCAATGTGAGGCTACAGTTGCACAGTTTAATTGCAAAGGCAAATGTTTGTTGAACAAGGTTTACGCTCCTTAAATCATATGATTTTCTAAAGCAGTCTGTCTATAGCACCCTGCCATTAGGCCTGAAGGCTGAATGATGAATCAGTGAATGCTCACGAGGCAAAAACACAGGCAGCCCATGGCTGGCACGCTTCTTATCATAATTGTTGCCTGCCAACCTGCAATGCACCTGTTAACTCACAGCTGAGGGCAACTGCCTGAATATACTTACTTGGATTTTAGCCTGTACCTACTGTACGATTTCAGGAACGATGCCATCTTTGATTATTGATTACACTTGCACGCGCCATCTCGCGGCAACTATAGGCCTAGTTTAAATTAGATTTTATTCTCATGTAACTTTGTTAAACGAATAAATAATAACTAGTACCATATTATAATATATAATATTTACTTTTCATCTTGAATCTTAACATATATCATGTAGCTATGGCCGTGGCGTATCCATTTACGCAGTTGTGCGAACATAAGCTGTTACCATAGAAATATAGAGACACTATATATTATGATTTCTATGACTGTTACACTCAGGGGCATAGGAAGAAAGCATTATTAAGGGGGCAGTAAAAGGCATCATCGCTGGGTTTTAATTTTTTTAATATAATTAAGAGAGAGAGAGAAAGTCTAAGATAAAGAGAGAGAGAGTAGTAAATTGAGACGGGGACAGGAAAACGGTGATACGGTGTGTATGCAAGCGGCAAACGGGGTACAATTAGGTCGTGCGAGGATGTTGTGCAAGGGGATGGGAGGTGGGAGGCAGGGGGGGGAGGTCGAAGGTAGGGGAGGGAGATGGGAGGTAAGGGGGAAGTGAGAGGCAAGAGGAGTGAAGTGGGAGGCAGGGGGGAGGGAGGTGGGAGCGCAGTGGGGAGGGAGGTGGGAGAGAAGGACTCCCCCCCCTCTAATTAAACTTGGAGATCCATGCTCATATGTTGAAATCTTTTATAGATAGATAAAAGATAGATAGCTGTGAATCTATGACACAAATTCGAAGTGAAAGGCAAGTATCATTTAATAAAATAAACCAAAATCGCATGGGGGGGAGATAGTGAGCGTGGCCTAACAATGATGTGTACGCAACTGCGTATCTGCATATCTGCGCCTAACAAATGTGTCACTACGCACGACTGAAGTTATAACGTAGCAACAGACCCAGAAATGAGCTCAGCCGCTCTGCGGCTCTTGTTGGTGAATAGTACTTCTACTCCGTCCACAGCGAAGAAATCGATGGCGAAAAAGGATGCTGCAGAAGAAAGATTAGGTACATTGACTATGCTAGATAAAGAGGGTACAGCATGCTAGAACTCCTGAAGTATGAATTGACCAGCAACATCCCAGTTCCTCACTACTTGATGTAAAGATGGCATCAATTGAAGAAGCCGATAAAGCCTCCTTAACCACGGGAACTTGTCAGTCAACTTCGCACAGGAGACAAGGAATGTAAAGAGTGACGCACAAATGACAATAGTGGACTTCATGGGAGCCGATGAAAAAGATGGGCCTTTACACATTCGCGGGAATTGGCTGAGAGTCTTTCCAACAGCATTCTTGCTACAGGCTCCGAGTCCACAAGAATAGACATTTATTTTTTGATGTTTATCAAAAATCATCATAAAGCAAATGGAACGGGCACAGAGAAGTTCTTCAGAACAAATCACTATCACCATTAGGTCTGACAATCAGAAACTCCCTGTCGATCTTGATATGTTCTGGAGCTCAATGTTGAAACAAAGTTCGGTTGCAGGAGTATGTCTTCAAGTGGATGCTGCAGAATGTCGAGTCAGACAAGGAGATCTTCTTTTGGAGGAGTATATGGGGGTGAATGCAGGATATTGTAAGCTGGCACTGAAACACAGATCGCAGAGCTCTCAAGCAACCAAGAAGAAGCTGACGACAGAATCATGTTCCATATTAATGATCGGTGTTGTGAAACACGGGGTTCAATCAGTCTCGGTTGACTCACCTGACACAGATGTCTTTGTCAACCTCATCTTCCACTTCAAGCAAAACTGGCAACTACAAAAGCTGTACGTGAAGCTTGGTAACCGGAAAACAAAGAAAACTGTACGCAGTCCACCTGTTGGTTGATCAACTGGACAACGGTTTGGTGTCGTGTTCCCAGCCATTCATGCTCTCAGCCTAAACGCCAATGTGTCGTGACACGTGCTACGCGTCGTTCTAAACGCCAATGCGTCGTGACACGCGCTACGCGTTGTTCTAAACGCCAATGTGTCGTGACACGCGCTACGCATCGTTCTAAACGCCAATGTGTCGTGACACGCGCTACACATCGTTCTAAACGCCAATGTGTCGTGACACTCGCTACACATCGTTCTAAACGCCAACGCGTCGTGACACGCGCTACGCGTTGTTCTAAACGCCAATGAGTCGTGACACTCGCTACACATCGTTCTAAACGCCAACGCGTCGTGACACGCGCTACGCGTCGTTCTAAACGCCAATGTGTCGTGACACTCGCTACGCGTCGTTCTAAACGCCAATGTGTCGTTCCAAACGCGCACAGCTACTAAAATTAGTATCGATTCGTAATGCAGCGAGCAATGTCCAGTTACGTTAGAAACTAACGCCATATATTTACATAGAGGAGAGGTTCCATCTACGTTCTGACATGAGTAAGTTTGTTCATAATCTCCAAGGATGTATGTTAAAACATTGCATTTTACTCACAGTTCAGTGAGTCATAGTGATGCTCACCTGTTTTGTTATGATACCCATTCTCACCAGAAGCTTTAGGTGGTAGAACATGCTCTTTGGCGACTCGCCAAACACTGTCAGACTGGCTAGGCCGAGGGTAACCTCACCCAAGTAGCGCGACCTTGAAAACACATCACAATAATTTACGACTGGAAAACAACTTCACAACATAAAAACCCCTCTAGTAAGATGGAATCCGCTAACTAAATATCCAAGCAGTAATAAAAGAGATAGTCAGCAATTTTTCTTATGTTATTAGGTAGTCTGCATTGGCTTTATTCCACGAGTGTTTGGTTACTACTCAATAAAGTCACATCTCGACACCTAAGTACTGTGCAACGTTTTTTTCTAATGACCAGTGAGATTTGCCATAATAGATGTCTCTGTTATGATGATGACCAAGAAAGAAGTTAGCCACTCTGTCATGGAAATAAACTGAAGTAAAGTAGTGACATAAACATGTGAATGAATACTGACACCTACCTACCAACGCGCTCCAGGATGCAGTACTGTAGGTCATTTATCTCTAACGCCGGTCGTTGTTCTGGTCCGTAGATGGATAGTTCTCGACATGGCTGACTTGCCACAATCACGAGTCCGTCTCCCCATCTGAAACACGCACAAAAATCATCACCGTAAATTTACCTTCCCTAAAGTCTAGTGCACAAACTCGGATGCGATAATACGTTTCAGACAAACGATATTGAAAATGCTGATATAAGTGAAATGTGATGCTAGATGCAATAACACTTGATCTTCGGAGAAATACATTGGCGCTTACGTGTTCATCGCCTGTGAGAGCGCGACCGGCGGTGATGTACGTATTTCTGCCGTAATGTTGTGCCTCGTTTTGTAGGTCGAACATGATCCCCTGACTCCGTCATTGTTCACTATTGATATTGGATAGATGTCCTTGGGTGGCTCCTACATGAGAAAGGTACAGTTTTTGGGTTGGCATTCTCTCTGCTGTGATGCATCAACTCCACTGTTTGTGATAGCACCATTTTGCTTCGCAATCTTTGGCTTAGTTTATGGCGAAAACAAGTAGTTAATAAGGAAACTAGGGCTGGTTTATTACAGATTATTGACTAAAACTTGGGCAGATCTAGTGTTAATTTTGGACAGATGTTACCAAATTTAGTTGTCACACTCACAGTGCAATGCCGTAACACAAATCTAAATTGAAATAATTAGAAATATGCTCTAATTTCTAAATGATTTTTTAGGGGTTGCTGTCTTTCATTTTTGTCATTTACTGGCAACAGTGTGTGAACTCACTGTTCAATGACAACACGTACCACTTCTACAATGACACCCGCATTCGGGCAGACATTTTGGAAACGGTTGGTCAGCACCAGGGGGTGCCGCAGCTCTACAAGCTCATAGAACTCAACGTCCGTGCTGCGACTTAACCAGCTCCAGATATAGATCTTCGAGTCGTCGTCCAACTTCAGAGGGAAGTCCTGCCGATTGCCAAGGCGCATCCATAGCACACTGACCGTGACACCTACACAATAACACAATTATGCCCAACATGAGTCATTTGCAAGACTGTATCATATGTTCTCCTGCATTAAACTATGAGACAATATACAGTCGAACATGTACTAGCAACCACTTCTATCAGCTGGCCACCTGCTCATAATTGTCACTTTTGATGTAATCACTGTTTCCTGTTAATGGTGTATATACAGGATTACCATATGTATAAAAACATATATATAGTGTATATAAACATATGTAACAAATTACAATATACCCATAGTTTAAAACAAAATATTTACCATCAAGACCTTCCAATGCTATCTCATCCAAGCATGATTCAAGAAAATCCATGATTGAATGTCCAATAAATTAAGCATTCAGCAAGCAACTGTGATCTTCACGATGTAGCACTTGAGTTGTTCTCTAGTATACACGTTGTCATCATACATCTTCTGGGAACTTACTGAATAGTTACCACTGTGAGAATAAATGAAAATACAGTGGACCCCTGAGATACGAATTTAATTCGTTCCACAGATTTGTTCATATAGATTTGTTCAAGAGCGTATAAAGAACTTCTTTATACGCTCTTGATTTGTTCGTACAGATTTGTAGTATCTCAAACCCTATATAGGACGTACAGCAATTTACGTATGGCAAGTGCAATCATGAGAGCACAACCACATTCAATCACGTAGTCACGAGTCACGTACTTAAACTGACTCAGCAAAAGAGCGCGTGCTAGGCCTATGCCCTGATTGGCCGATTCGTAAGACGTTCGTATGTTGAATTTTATTCGTTTGTCGAATACATTACGTTCAACAGGTCGTTCGTATCTTGAAAACTCGTATGTCGAGCCGTTCGTATCTCGGGGGTCCACTGTACATAAATTACTACTTCCTATCATTCATAATAACACTATTTTTGTTAGCCAGTGCTACCTATTAAAAGCATAGTTTTTACGGTAGGATAGCTCTATTTCCTGCAGTGTGCAATGACACCATATAGTATTCAATACACCTGCTACACAGAGTAATGGTGCTGTTTTTTATTTTAATTAAAACCTACCGAACACTTTCACTAACCCTAACCATACCCCGAACCCTAGCCTAACCAGGTGTGACACTACCATGTGACCGTACGTCGAGCGGTTAAGATTTGTGCCCAACTGTTGACGGACGGACGGACGGACGGACGCACGCACGCACGCACGCACGCACGATCATGCGATTCTACAAGCTGCATCTGACTACGTCAGATGAGCTAAAAATGCATGTACATGATTTATACTAGAGCAGCAGTAGTGTGTTACATCATCCACACAACCTACCTAACAAACTTGGTGTGGCAACCTCTAACAAACTCAATTTCTTATAGAGGTGGCAGGACTTCAATGGTAAAATATTGAAGTAAAAATATATTATGTATAAATTTTGCAAGTATTTTTAAGCAATTGTCAATAACTTCACACATACATGCATAGATACAATAATGTAACCCAACAAGAGTAGTAACCAAACCTAATCTTGTTGGATTACATAATTGTATCTAGTACATGCATAAAGTGTGATTTTTTGTCATCAATGATGGCATCAATTATGCTGCCAGATATGATTTTAGGGGATGTGCACAAATTTTTGCATGGGTGTGAAGTTTCTTCGGAAAATGACTAATATATAACACATTTTACTCCCCCCACCTATTTTACTCTACAATTCAATTAAAGCCCTGTCACTTCTCACTCACAGTCAGTGCAGGAAACGTGGCATAGGTGGAATGTGGAGTTGCATAGTCGATACGGTAGGCTGTGTGTTAGCTCTAGTACTATTGGTAGTATCTAGTACTATATTACTATATAGCCCGCGTACAGTTGCCGCAAGGCTATAGAACATTCTTTTACGAATGCTCGGCACCAACTTATTCACGGTTACTCGTAGCTATAAAACGTCTGTGGTAGGCAATTAATGCCTCTTATCTGAAATGAATGTCTTAAGTTATATCAGCTACTAAAATTTAACCTCTAACTATCGTTGAAATGGTCTACTTGCGGTATTTCTTGTGAACGAACATTATTTACGAACTTCAAACGGCCATTTTTGGTGGCGCCAGTCAGCGGGAACCATGCATGAATTTCCGCACGTGGAGGGGTGGGCGGGTTGTGTTGGTTGTGGACAAAACCGCAGGACATAAATGCTAACTGAAATCGCGTGAAATACGCGAGCCGTGAAATCGTGACAAATGGTCAAAACAAGGTGAGGTTGCTGGGTGAAAGGACGTATTGTCGCACCTTTGCGACAACAAATGGCCCCTTTCTTGCTCAAAATTAGTTGACAACACCTTCAAGATGACCTCTGTCAATTTTTAAGACTGTACCCCCACATTAACCAAACTCACGACATGGGTGTGTAAACGCTACTTTGAGCACTAGTAGTACTACTACTATAGTACTAGTAATAGAATGTTCTATAGTCCTGCGGGCTGCGGCAACTGTACGCGGACTATAGTACTATAGCTAGCTGTGTGTATGATGTAGCACACTACCCCGTACTAGTAGTATAGTATAAAGGTTAGTATAGTGCTCAAGGGGTCGTTGTCGTAACAGGTACTACAGATATGTGCCCGAGGTACATATATGTATACACAGAGATTGATGAAAAAACGCACTATTTTATTGAAAATTACCATATTTACTTATAAAACATCCAAGAGATGGCGCTGTGGCATGTAAACATTGGCTGTGAATTAATTATTTGTGTACCTCATTTTGGGCCGAGTTCAGTCATTTTTAGGGCATTTCGGTGGAATTTTTTTTGACATTTCAGCTTCGGACTGCTTCTTCCGGTGAAATTTGATGTTCTCATCGCGCCTTTCGGTGTTTTTTAGGTGCCTTTCGGTGCCTTCCGGTGCCTTCCGGTGCCTTACGGTGCCTTTCGGTGCCTTTCGGTAATTAGACAGACCGATATGGCGGCGCCCTCTTAGATTGTATGTAACGATATCGCAAAAGATAAAATATGAATGTGACCATTTCTATAGTTTCTAAGTCAATATGTGTTTCATTAATTAGCGTGTGGTTAATGTGTTTAGTCACCTGTATTAGTTAACTTTCAGCAAAATCCCAAATGGTGCTATATGAAACTAGTTTTATGTTCACGTTCGTCAGCGGTCAGACTCAGTTCTTGGCAAGCTTTGCCATACTCGTAGTTAGTAGTAGTAGTAGTAGTACTATAGCCCGCGTACATTGACTGCGCAGGCCTGCAGCAGTCAATGTAGGCGGGCTATAGTACTAGAGCTAGCTTTGCCAAAGTAGTGGCAAGTTCATCAATGTTGATCCTACTGCAACTATATTTATTAACAAGAAGCGAATGCAACTACTAACGCACGAAGGGTCGTTGTCGTAACAGGTACTACAGATATGTACCCGAGGTAGTTTTAGGTTGTTTAGTATTATGTTTATATTTTTATATGAGGTATGTTTAGGGTTAGGGTTAGTGTTAGGGTTAGGGTACACTTCTGTAGTACAAGTCTGGTACACGTT